ACAATAAGTTCACTTTAGTTACTCACACAACTTGACACAAGCCATGGGTTCAGGTCCGGACTTATAAGTCCTGAACCTGAACCTCTGGACTTGAGTCCGGACCTGAACCTGAATGTGAGTCCAGGTACGCAGCACTACCGGTGGGCGTGTGGGGTGTGATAAACCACAGGAAGTGCTGTCAAAGCACTATGCGGGTGCAGGGACCAGGGACCTGTGGATAGAACGGTGGGTTACGTTTTGTAACCCTAGTTCTATAAGGGTGGAGCCCTCTATCTTGGGGCCCTGTCTTTCCTATGCCGCTCGCTGAAGAGGGTGTAGGATGACAGTCAGGAGGCGTAGCCGCCTTATACTTTGAGCCTGCGAGCACATTCAGGTAGGCTCACCCTGATTGGCCGGCTACGTTTATACAACTTCAGTGTGTGAACGCTCGTGTATCATTGATGAGAGTATACCCATAGTATATCCAGTATGCTTATAGAACTGGGTTACAATACGTATCATTTCAAAAATCAAGTCCTTAATAATAATAATAAATTATATTTATATAGCACTTTTCTTGAACTCAAAGACGCTTGCCCATCACCCCTGTTTAATCTATGTTTACCTGTCTGTTTTCAAATTAATTTGAAGATTTTACTGATTACTTTTATAGCTCTTAAGGGATTACATCACTGACCTCGGGAAGGGCTCTGCTAGCTGTTCCCAAAACCAGGCTAAAAACGAAGGGTGACCGAGCTTTCTCCGTCAGAGCTCCGCAGCTCTGGAACTCCCTGCCCGAGAATCTGAGGTTGGCAGAATCGGTTCTTAATCCATGTAAAGCACTTTGTGACGTTGTTTTTTAAAGGTGCTGTATAAATAAAGTTATTATATTATTATTTATATGTTATGCTACTTCTTACTTCTACCCAACTACAGTTCAGAGGTAAATGGTGGTATACTTTTCCTCCACTACATGTATTTAATACCTTTAGTTACTTCACAGATGTGGATGAATGATGTGAAATATAATCAAGTGTTAAATCAGACTTTAGTTCCACCTGGAGTAAATCCACCAGCTACCCTGCAGTATACAAAGTCATTCCAACTAGCTGCACCTTTACCAGCTTTGAGAACACTTTCATGATCAATCATTATAAAACATATCATATACTGTATATTATTCTGAAATGGACCAATCTGCACAACGACTACTTTTACTGTCGCTACTTTCACTATATTTTGATGCCATTACTTTTCTACTTTTACTTGAGTAACATTTTGAATAAGAGTAACAGAGTATTCATACACTCTGGTACTTCTACTTTTACTCAGGTACAATATCTGAGTACTTCTACTGTTACTCAAGTACAAGATCCGAGTACTTCTATTGTTACTCAAGTACAAGATCTGAGTACTTCTCCCACCCCACATACATAAAACCTTCTGGACCTGCCTCACGTTCCCACTTTCATCACCAGCAAGTCTTTCATTCAAGTGATCAAGGAATAGGGGAATTAATCAGTGCTACATGGTTATTCTAGGTTTTTCACATACATTGAAAGTAATAGTTTTGCCTTCAGTATCATAGTGTTTAAAGATACACAGTTCATGCATTTGTTTTTGCTATTTAATGTATTTTGTGTCAAAGCAAAATGTAATCCACAGTTTAGTCTAGATATTCTCAAATGGGGGTACGCGGATCCCTGGGGGTACGTCGGGGTACTGCAGGGGGTACGTGAGATGAACAAAAAGGTTAATAAAAAAAATACCATGCATGATTACAAAAATAATCATAGTACAATTAGTTAAATAGAAAACCCAATTTTATATGAAATACCAAGGGTTCAAGATCGGTTCTTGTGCTTTTCTGGTGCTTAACTGGTTCTTCTCTGTTTTTAAAAGTGTGTGATCACGTTCTAGTCACTTTGCTCAGCGCTACTGCTTGTTGTTACAACTTGTATATTTGCCATACTCGCCATGAACCCTCCTGTTATCCTTGGGGGCAATTTGACCCCATTCAATGTTTAACGTATCTAAAAAAATAGTTCACATTATTTTTTTTGCTTAGTATTTCATGACTTTTCCTAATTTTATGAGGACTAATGGCTAAACATAAAATGAACATGAAGATCTTTTTTAAACGTCCTGTACGCACTTTGTACGCATCGGTGTTCCGATGTACAAATGTACATGTACAAATTTCAATATTTTACACATATTTGTGTTGATTGTGTAGGATGATATTGAGGTGACTATTACATGCAAATGAATCATTGTAAAAAAAAAAATACCCTCTGCTTTAGTTATTGGTCTTTTAACAACATCAAAAAGATCTTACTTTAACATTTTCTTTCAATCAATGAGATTTTATGGTGATTTATACATTTTTCGATAGTCACATAATAAGAATTCTGGATTTATAAAGGGGTCTGGGGGGGGGAAGGTTGGGGTAATGTTTTATTTAAATGGTTATTTAGGTAATCAACTAAGATACCTAAAGCACCAGAGACATACATTTTGGTTACAATTTAGAATATGATCGTTGTCTTTTTAAACTACTGGGGTCAAATTGACCCCAGAGGATAAAGGGTGTAAAGTCAATCTGAGGATAACAGGAGGGTTAACTGTTATTGCTCAGGTTAATCTCGCCCACTCCGACGCAAGAGTGAAGTATTGGTTCTTGCCGGGCAGCCGAGCGGGGCCAGCTAAGCACCGGGTTTCGGTTTGTTTGATTGATTGATTGATTGAAAAGTTTATTAACAGCTTGTATATTGGGTACAGTACATTACAGCTCAAAACATACAATTGTTAAGGGGATACAGACCAGAGAAAGACTTTCGTCTTGTTTACATCAGGGTCCCCCATTTCCAATTCATCATACTACTGAGAGCCGGCTCCGCTGCGGTGGAAACAGGAAGAACCAGAGCTAAATCAGGCTCTAGTCCGGAACCACGCTGAGCGGGAAGCCAGATGCAATATTAGACTATAAGAAATAGACTGAAATTGAAATGGAATCGTGGTTAGAACGCAGCAGCACTACAGCAGGGAACGTGGACAACGGAGAAAAAAAGAAAGCCAAAATTGAGCCAACAAAATGCCGTCAATATCAGGAGGCGTATGCTTTGATGGGATTCACGTCAACAAACGGCAACCCGCCCCAGGCATTGGGTTTTTTCTGTGGGGAGAAACTAGCCAACGAAACCAGCGCACCTCCAGAGACATCTCAGCACCAAACACCTGTGTCATGTTGGTAAGCCACCGGAGTTTTCCAAGAGAAAATAGATCCTCTTAAGAGATGATGCGAAAAGCCTCCACAACATCAGCCAAAGCACCAGAGGCATCGCGGTGTCACTGCTCATCTTTGAGCCAAAAAGCTGTACACGATCGCTGAGGACCTAAAACTCCTATAGTATCATTGCAGTGTTATTACATCATTTGTTTAGAATTACAAAACATTTTCAGTTACAACGTTGTTGTTTTTTTAACCCTTTCATGCATTGTAGTCACTACATTAGAGACTGCTAATTAAATGCTGTTTTCTTGTTCTTTATAGTTTGTTTTTTTTGCATAATATATCATTTGGTTCATTGGTTTGTTAAATATATTACTTCAAATCTGTTTTTCAAAAATATCCTTAGTTTGTTGTAATTCATCCACGAGGGAGTTAATAAATCACACACTGATGGAACATCACTATATTGTAATTATTTATATAGGCTTTTTCTATCAAAAATGTTCGGGCTCGGTCAGGGGGTACTTGGCCGAGAACATTTTTCAAAGGGGGAACATTACTGAAAATAGTTTGAGAAGCACTGGTTTAACGTGTGAGGAGTTTTGAAAAAGGGAATTCAGTATTGAAAGAAGTGAGAAGGCAATTGCGAAAAAGTGTATTCTTTGCTGTATTTTCTGTAATAAAAATATAAATATAACATGCCAGCAGTCTGCACATCCTGCGTTGTTTGAAGTCAACAGAATGTGTTTATTTTTGTATAGTGTCAATTTATTAGCTGTGGGCTGTTTAGCATTTCTAGCATTGTTTTTACATTTTGATGAATCTGCGCCATGAAAAGACAGTTCCTGTCGTACCCAGGGACATAAGGTCAGGGACTCCCAGGCATTTGGTGCAACATATATATATATAAATGTGTGTGTGTGTGTGTGTGTGTGTGTGTGTGTGTGTGTGTGTGTGTGTGTGTGTGTGTGTGTGTGTGTGTGTGTGTGTGTGTGTGTGTGTGTGTGTGTGTGTGTGTGTGTGTGTGTGTGTGTGTGTGTGTGTGTGTGTGTGTGTGTGTGGTGTGTGTGTGTGTGTGTGTGTGTGTGTGTGTGTGTGTGTGTGTGTGTGTGCGTGGGGGTGTGTGGGTGTGTGTGTGTGTGTGAGTGCGTGTGTGTGTGTGTGTGTGTGTGTGTGTGTGTGAGTGTGAGTGAGTTGATTTATTCATATCCTCTCCTGAGACCTGACATTTTTCTCAATGTTTATTGGTGGATGTTTTTGTACGGGAAAGCACGAGTGTGTGTTGATTACACACATAATTTATCTGCTAAGGTAAGCGTGACAGGGAGTCTTGCTCTGGTATCTTGCTGTATGCATGACATACATCACAAATGTAGCACTTTCTTACGTAACCCTTATTTGCACAGCCATCTCTCTCACACATGCTGTACACACTCCTCAACATCAAGGCTGAGGGTGTGTGTGTGTGTGTGTGTGTGTGTGTGTGTGTGTGTGTGTGTGTGTTTAGATGCTAGGAGGTTTCTCATGTTTTCAGTGCTTAACAGATCTTTGCACTCCAGTATGTATCACATGTCTGAATAGGAAATCATTTCATAAAGAAATGAAGCAGCATCATTTTGACACCACAAACAACAGTGTGTGTGTGTGTGTGTGTGTGTGTGTGTGTGTGTGTGTGTGTGTGTGTGTGTGTGTGTGTGTGTGTGTGTGTGTGTGTGTGTGTGTGTGTGTGTGTGTGTGTGTGTGTGTGTGTGTGTGTGTAACATATTTAATGTGTGTATATGTGTTGCAGGTCTCGTATGTGAAGGCTATAGACATCTGGATGGCAGTGTGTCTCCTGTTTGTCTTCTCTGCACTTTTGGAGTACGCTGCTGTCAACTTTGTGTCGAGACAACATAAAGAGCTGCTGCGCTTCAGACGACCTCACAAGACAAACAGGAGCAAGGTATAGAAAAACACACCAAACGTGGTATCTCTACCTGAAAACAGGTGTTCACACACATGCACTGTTATGTTGTTCTCACATCTGGCGTGATGCTGCCACCTTGTGGCTGCAGGCAATTCCAGGTTTCTACTGGGTTGATTGAGAGGATGACAAATAAAAATGTCACGTCGTCATTGAGTTGAAACAAACACCGTTCCTGATGCACAATAGCTATAAAGTGTCAGGTCCTCTGGCTGTGCACGTATGAGCCTCTCTTACCGTATTATGCATGATGCTGCATGGCTGTCACTGCTCTTTGGTTCAAAGTTGTGTTGTTGCTCTGACAGAAATATACAGTAAGTGTCACTGCATGCTGAGGATCTCTGTGTTGGGAAAGGATCTACTCCACATTCAGTCAACATGCAATTAGAGAAGCTGCAGATGAATCAATCTGTTTAAGAGTGGACAATATGTTTGAACTTGTACACGTTTTGTACTATTACAGTGTATAAAGAGGTACAGTTAGAAAAGAAACAGAGAATGAGATATAACCAAAACACCAGTAGAGAGAAGCCTTTTGATGAAAAACACTATATGAATGAATAGTAACATGTGTAACCCACCAACTGATACATTGACTGAATGAAGGAGTGACCCGCCCCCGTGTTTGGAGGCCATTTGTTTTTCCTTTGTGTTTCCGTGTGTTGATCACTGGTGTGCATGCTGTCCTGGTAGAGCAGTGCAGTTGGTCCTGAGGAGCTAGCTGACTCCCTGCGTCGTGTTAATGTTGACAACGGCCTCAAAGCAACACACACCCCCTATGGATCTATGAGCAACATCTACACCAGCAACCACAGGGTAATGTGCGTGTGTGTGTGTGTGTGTGTGTGTGTGTGTGTGTGTGTGTGTGTGTGTGTGTGTGTGTGTGCGTGCGCGCGTGTGTGTGTGGGGGGGGGTCTATGTTTGCATGTATTTGAGCATGTTTCACTTGCATGTTGCAGGCAATGTGTTGTTGCCCCCCAGTCAGTGTAAGGAATAATAAGTGAGTATTCATTTCTGATGTGGAAAACCCTCGTCCCGCAGGAAGGGGAAGTGCATGAGAGCAGACTGACCTCCACTCCAAGCAACAGCAAAGGCGTGAAGGCCAGCGCCAACAACACTGTGACTGCATCGAATACCCCCGCAGCCACAGCAAACCCTACCCAGAATCCACCTGGAGCAGGTGGAAGGGTCAGAAGCATTGAAGAGATGAGGAAGTTATTCATCGACAGAGCCAAAAAGATTGACACAGTGTCGAGGGCCGGCTTCCCTCTGGCCTTCCTCTTCTTCAACATATTCTACTGGGTCCTTTATAAGATCCTGCGACATGAAGATGTACATAAGAGATAAAGAAGGAAAGAGCGGAGATTATATACAGTATGTGTGCTCACACGCACGCACGCACACACACACACACACACACACACACACACACACACACACATACACACACACACACACACACACACACACACACACACACACACACACACACACACACACACACACACACACACACACACATCCGTATACCACTATGCATATGAGGACACTTTGTTTAATTCCCTGTTCCTTAACCCTGCCCTTGACCACCATTCAGGACGTCCTCTAAAATGTCCTGATTCTGAGGCAGTACCTCTTATACCAGCTGTCACTAATACTGAGTATCCAACAGTGTGCTCTCCAGAACATACTGCCTTATGAGAATACCTGAATCCCACCCTGTCTGAATACAGAGTCTATATAAAAAAACAGCGTCTCCAGTCAAAGAGCCATTATAAATTCACAAGTTAAAACTATCGCCCATGAAGGATGTGACCCAACTCACTCAAAATCCTTTCTTATAATATCCACATCATCAATCTGTGGAGGAACGGGAGTATTTTAAAATGAGCAAGAGGCGAGGAATTCATGCATTGATGAATAAGTTATGAGGTGGCAAGAAAACTAATTAAAAATGAATGTGAGTGGGATACAAAAAGAGAGCCTTAAACCAGCATTATGACATACATAGATGGTCATTTTTAAACAAAGCTTGGTTTATAGCAGAGTCATAACACTAAATAAGAGAACTGCTGAGACGGTTGAATGATCTGATCGGTAAAGAGGGGAGGCTCTCTATCACCTGTCCTCATATCTCAGCAGATGTGATTGAGGTGTTTCCACTGAGCACCCAGTGTGCGCCGCGCTTTGCCTTGCCTCTTGTTTATGGGATGGTAAAACCGTGTGTATTTATAGAAATAGTAAGGACACGTAGTGCAGCTGTGTGACTGGATGAAATGATGCGTTTACAGCAGGCACTCTGAGGTGCGTCTCGTCACAACACTATGTACAGACTACTGCTGCTTCCAAAGGAAAGTGAAACAAAGGACACAACATGGCACACAGTGGAGAAGGGTGAGCACAACTGATCGATTCAAATGTCACTTCAATTCTTCAAGTGTACATTTACATTTAGTGGCATTCTCAATGAAGGTACATTTCCGAGTCAGTCGGGCAGTTCTCACAGGAATCCTCATTCGTTGGCTGATCTGTTCCCTGTATCACATATCATGTTTGTTGGCTCACACACTTGCAGCATCTCACAAGGCGTGTCCTTACAGAGGTGGGAAGTGTGATCAGAAGCTACCCACACCACACAATACAACTGATCACTACTGAGCAGGAGCCTTAAAACAAATAAATCATTGAAAAGACAATGGGTATACATGTGACCAGTGAATGCACATGGAACTATGGGCAGCTTCACTTATAAAACATCTTCAATTACAAGAGTTCAACCTGGTGGTTTGCATTCAGGAGTCGTTAAGACACATCGTTAAGATAAGGGTTTTCTCTAGTTTCTGATGCTACTCACTATACAGTCAGTGTTTTTGCTCAACACTTAACAAAAGCTCACTTCCCCTTTAACGTGGTTGTACTGAAGATGCTTCCTGAATTCATGTTAGTGTGTATGTTTTTATCAAATGTCCACTTCTTTATTCTGATATTATGACTGAGACCTCCAACACTGTGCCAGAGACCAAGGACCCCTGAGAGCATGTGTTATCATGGGATTATCACTGTGCTCCTTTACACACCGTAAACTGAAGATATGGGAAGATCACAAGTATGAAGAAACTGTATTACAAAAATCGGCTATGATAAAACACTGCTCAAGAGTCTACTTCATGTAGAACAGACTGCAGATGGAGAACACGGCTCAAGAGTCTACTTCATGTAGAACAGACTGCAGATGGAGAACACGGATCAAGAGTCTACTTCATGTAGAACAGACTGCAGATGGAGAACACGGCTCAAGAGTCTACTTCATGTAGAACAGACTGCAGATGGAGAACACGGCTCAAGAGTCTACTTCATGTAGAACAGACTGCAGATGGAGAACACGGCTCAAGAGTCTACTTCATGTAGAACAGACTGCAGATGGAGAACACGGCTCAAGAGTCTACTTCATGTAGAACAGACTGCAGATGGAGAACACGGCTCAAGAGTCTACTTCATGTAGAACAGACTGCAGATGGAGAACACGGCTCAAGAGTCTACTTCATGTAGAACAGACTGCAGATGGAGAACACGGCTCAAGAGTCTACTTCATGTAGAACAGACTGCAGATGGAGAACACGGCTCAAGAGTCTACTTCATGTAGAACAGACTGCAGATGGAGAACACGGATCAAGAGTCTACTTCATGTAGAACAGACTGCAGATGGAGAACACGGATCAAGAGTCTACTTCATGTAGAACAGACTGCAGATGAAGAACACGGCTCAAGAGTCTACTTCATGTAGAACAGACTGCAGATGGAGAACACGGCTCAAGAGTCTACTTCATGTAGAACAGACTGCAGATGGAGAACACGGCTCAAGAGTCTACTTCATGTAGAACAGACTGCAGATGGAGAACACGGATCAAGAGTCTACTTCATGTAGAACAGACTGCAGATGGAGAACACGGCTCAAGAGTCTACTTCATGTAGAACAGACTGCAGATGGAGAACACGGCTCAAGAGTCTACTTCATGTAGAACAGACTGCAGATGGAGAACACGGATCAAGAGTCTACTTCATGTAGAACAGACTGCAGATGGAGAACACGGCTCAAGAGTCTACTTCATGTAGAACAGACTGCAGATGGAGAACACGGCTCAAAGAAATGTGAAACATAAGGAACAGCAACAGCACACTCACACACGCATGGGCTTCACACTGTTTTGCCTACTCGTGTCTTACAGTTCAGCAGCCTGTGTCCCCCACTTGCAGCCTCTCCTCAGCCTCTCAGGGACCACCAGAGCCCACACTGCACACGACTGTCTTCATGCTATCAGACAGAGAGAGGGACTATTCTCACTGTGACTGCTGTTTCCAGTTCACACTCATATCACACCCAGCTCCTTCTGACTGCAGGTGCCTCAGAACCTTCAAAGTGTTCCTACTGTTCAGAGAAACACAATCCCTGCTGTGTGTGTTGGCAGATAAACACAGTAGTTATGTCAGTGTGTGTGATCAGCCTAATCTACTTTATCTTGGTTTCATTTTCAAGTCAGCCAATGCAGGATTAAAAACAAATATTTCAAAGGACGTGATAACAAAGTCAACCCACAAACTGAAACATGTGATTCAACAAGCTGTTCAGATGTGGTTCCACTTCCTATTTCATATTCCCCTCCCCCCCAGCTTGAATACTACCGTTGCAATATTCTCTTGCAAGCCAATCAGAGCAGACTGGGGTTTCCAGATGGGGGCTTAAAGAGACAGGCTCTAATTTCAGAAAGGGGGGGGGGGGTTAAAAACAGGTTTGTTCAAGCAGACGAGAACAAATGTGTTTCTAAAGAATGTGAACATGTAGCAGATACACCCAAAATGTACAAGTTTGCAAGTATGTGCTTCTTTAAACAGGCCTCATTTAACACGTCCCATGTGCCGGCGTAGAAAGAAGTGTAATGGGCAGGAAATGTCAGCATGGGGAGGACAAGTGTTGTTTGGGATGCAAAGTGTCCCTTAAAGTCAATATTGGTCTGCAATTGGTGGGATTGAAAATAACTTGGTAAACAATATTTGAGTCTGTTGCCAAACTATTGTTGCTTTCTGAAATGTTGACCTTTAGAGTACACACTCTTTCTTGGAATTTCATTGTGTTTCTAGGAAACAACTTGGCTCTGACTTGTATTCCTGATTCCTGCCAGCTGTTAACATCAGACAGTGGAGCTCTGCACAGCTCTCTGTGTGCTTTGGTTTCTACTGCTTTACATCTATTCCACTCAAACCAGGTGGTACAGTGAGCACACTTCCTACAAATCATCAACTTTCCTGCCAACTTGCTCATGGCATACCATAGTATTAGAGTGGATCAGTTCAAAGTGCTGTTCAGTGTGACTGCAGAGCTGTTATACTTGCTTGAGATTTGCCACATGAGATCATGGTGATAAGACTTCTCTTGCAGAGACCGTTGATGTACATACTCTCGGGAATCAATGGAACATGTTGACTGCCTGCATTCAGCGCTGTAAAAGCTGATGGTGAAGCATACAGAACGTGCAAGCTAATATATGTAACATAGTCCTGTATGAATCATTGAACTATAGTCACTTGTTAATGTGTGTGCACTGATCCAGGATCTGCAGTTCCTGAAGCCCTATGCTCAGTGCGGGGCCGCTGCACTGGGGCCTCCCATGTTCTGACAAGAACCAGAGTGTAAAGGAGCATTCTGGTGTTTTTGCATGATTTACCTTATTTACTATTTCACATTATTTCAACTTCTTGCTGTTTTTCTTCATTGAGACATTTCTGTCGTCAGGCTATCTACCAAGGATTTATGTTTGTTGATATATACTGTATATCATTTGCATCTATGTTTCAAATGTAATGCTCACTGATTTTGCTTGGTGGTAAATAACAACATTAACACCTACTAGCTGGTTTTGGAGATCGGCTGCCTCTCTATTAGCTGAGTTCTACAAAGAGAGACGTTTAGAATTTGAACTAATATTATATCAGTCATAAACGTTGTGGACTCACAGTGAGTCTGATTGAGTGTTTTTGCTGATGTTGGTGAGAGATGAACCAGAAAAGCAGAACACTTTCATTTGTAATATGCTTTCTTTGTGTTTTCATAGAGGCAGTGGAGTGTTGTGCTGAAGCTGCCGCTCCATCAGTTTCCCTCACAGGGCTCACTGTGTGGAAAAGCAGTAGACGCTCAAACATCTCACAGTCTGTGACATGGCTTTTGAATTGAACATGAGTTGTGTTTCTGCTTGTATTGTGTTGCAAGTGTGTGGAGAGTATTTAGTGTAATGATTGTGCTCAGGCTGTCAGGACTTTCTCCTTTCAAGTCAGAGGTGGATTTCATCAAACTGACAAACAAAATGTATTTCGTTGTTGGAAGTTTCTGTCAGAATTAAATGTTTTTAAACACGACCAATAAGTAATGATATACTGTATGCTTGTTATGCTTCTGGGTTTAATTGTGGAAAACAGGCAACCAAGAGTACAGAGTTGAGAGCACACATGCTACTTTTTGTAAAATAAGATGTGCATATTTTACATAGTTTTAATTTTTTTTTTTTATTTAATTCTATTGTATTTTGATTCAAATAAACTTGGTAGCCACTTCTTAAAGTGGACTGTATGTGTCCTTTCTGTCTGCATACCTCACTGTTTATACTTTGCATAGATAAGTTGTCTGGTGGCGGAGTGGGACAGCGGGTCCAGCAGGACATTTCTCAATCTTTATGTTATGCTGCTAACAGCAGCTGCAGAAATGACCTTCTCACACCTTGGGGGCCATCCCTGCAATGTGATTGGCATCCACATTAACTGAACTGTGATTGGCCAAGTCAACCAGTAAGAAACTGTTAGATACCTCAGTGTTATTGAGGTATAAATTAATAGTGGATGCAGAAATCCTGAATGCTGTTATCTGTCCCGCCTCTCTGCTCTCCACACAGACCTGCATTCAACCAAAGTCCGCTCCAACGACATAGGTCAATACCACACGGACTACGACGGAACCTAACCTTTCCATAACCAAATCTGCCCCAATGCCTGTCGATAGAGATCAAATCAGCTGCAGTTAGTTAGCATGTCTGGCTAACTAGCTTTGTACTTATGGTATATGCAGATGATCAGTGTGTATGGTAATGTTTGTGCTCACCTGCTCTTTATCGAATATGAATACATTTACACTCAAGCTAACAAAGACTCACTTTTGAATTTGCTCTCACATCAATTTCTATTTTCTAACGCAGTGGTTCCCAACTTTTTCCCCCAGAGCCCCCCCAAATTACGCCTGTTGGAAGTTGCCCCCCCCCCCCCCCACACACACACACACACACACAAGGGGGGGGAAACAGACAAGGCAACAGCGGTAATTAAAGTTTAAAAGTCTCAAAATGCTACAACTACTGTCACAAACTGGATGAATGTGAAGTATTGTTTTAAAGGAGGATGAAAGCGTAATTAAGGAGCACTATTGGAGTGACTTTGATGGTTATTGGACTCAGGCTTCATTCATTTGGATTCCCGCTGTATGAAGAAATTAAAGGACGGCGCGGAAGTGGAAACAATTCACAAAGGGACGAAACTGTTTAAAACACGTGCTCAAAGGAAGCCGGATTTTGCCGATGTGTTTCTGTGGATTCAAAATTCGTAAATAATCTACAAAATGGAGGAGACCGATCTGATTGGAGCAACTGTGACGAATAATCCAACTGAAGCCGGCATGGACAATGACTATGTTTTAAAAATACGCTTATCCAGAAAAGCCCGGTTTGGACACTTTACGGGCAGAAGAAACATTTCTATAGAAAGAATTATACATTTCTGTCTTTTTATGCCTTTAATAGCTACTAACTTGAATTGTTATTCAAATTCCTTAATCAATTATTTTGTATACGTTTATTGTAATGTACACAATCATGTATTGTGTAACAATTATTATGTAAAAAAAAGAAAAAGTCTAAATATGATATTAGGCCTCAAATCATCTGAGGCCTGCGATTTTTGGCGCCCCCCCCCCCCCCCCAGGCTGGGAAAAAAGGAAGTTAGGATTAGTATGACACTAGTGTGAGTTAACAATCCAGAAATGCTGCAAGAAAAGACGAAAAGAAGAGGCTTGTTGATCCATGTATAACAGCATGTGTCTGAATTTGACCTGTATTGCTATAAATGGATAAAACCTAACTTTATTTTTGTAAATTGTTGCCTTGTGATTTCAAAGCAGAGGTTGGTAGTCTGGTTTCCAACGACTAGTTGAAACCCTCATATACCTTCATATGGTCGGGACCCAGAGTGACACAGTTGATGACGGAGGGAAGGCAGGTGGAACCCCCCCCAGGATGTACAGGAGGAGCCTGTGCTGGGGGGGGGGGGGCACTGCAGGTCCTGAGATCCCAGAGAGCTGAAGGGGGTGCACCTCCAGAATCCTGCCCAAAAAGCAGGAAGGATGTAAGATAAGAAGGAGAAGGGAAGGAAGGAGGAGGGATTTGCTAGGATGTTCCTGAAACTGATTTTTGCAAATGATAAATAGTGTTGTTTTTGTATAAACAAAGCTTAGTGTTTTTTAGAAACCCACAAAGAAGACATCTTGGCTTTACGTAAAGCACCAAAGTGCTGCCATCACACTTCTGTCTTTTCAGCACTGTTTGGTTCCCATGGATTCCAGCACAGCGTAAGAGTGAACATGCAGAGACCTGAACCTTGTGTAATGTATGACTGAACAGTGTTGCATAATGTGTAACAGCAATTACACAAATACCTCACAAAAAGACAACATGGAGGTGAAGAGCAAAATGTGAGATTTACAGCTGTTTTCCAGGTTCTCTTTATTATGTCAACAAGCATATTCTTGTACTAACAGTGTTGTGTAGAGCTCAGGTGAAACAAGAGAGGCAGGAGGGGGGGCTTTAGAAAGGAGGAGGAGCTGCAGTAGGAGGAGGAGGAGGAGGAAGAGGAAGAGGAGGAGGAAGAGGAGGAGGAGGAGGAGGAAGAGGAGGAGGAGGAGGACAGGTACAACAAGCTGCAGGAAGCTGTAATTATTATCCCACAGAGTTTACATAGCCTCTCTCGCTCTCCCTCATACACAGAGCACTGTTTGTATAGACTGATAAGCTGAGAGGGGGGGGGTGGGGAGGAGGGAGGGATAACAGCCCAGCTAAGGGAGAGAAAACACACACAAGGGTGAGAAAGCCTCTGCATGCACACACTGAAAAGGACAGAAGAAGAGAAGCAAAAACAGAGAAGAACATATAGCAGAGAGAGAACAGAGGGGGAGGCGAGTGAGAGACAGAGGGAGGAAGAGGAAAAGTGAGGGTCTGCTGGATCATGCCTCTGAGAGGGAAGGTGGCTCTGGTGACCGGGGGAGCTCAGGGCATCGGGAGAGCCGTGGTTCAGTCCCTGCTGCAGAGCTCAGCCAAGGTCAGTGTGTGTCGCCACTTCCCTGACTAACACACAGCTATCACTTTACAAAGGAACTGAACTTCTCAAATAACATGTTTTTCGTTTTGAAGAAGTTAGCTATGCTGTGTGCACTTGCAGCTCTGACAGTCGCACTCAGACAGCTTTGGAAACATGTTGTCTTTCATGCTTTACTTCCCGCTTTATGTTTCATTTTGAATACACTGTAATCCTGCTTTCAAAGGTCAGCATGTTGAAACAGAGCCAGTGTTAACTTGCCTGAGATGATGAGTCTAAAATAATAGTATATTAGGTTATATATACATTATACACTGCATTCAATTGTGCTGGAGATGAGCAAGTGCATTGTGGCCGGAAGTGAAAGCAACACTTTGCATTGCAAAGGCTTTTGAAAGAAGTTGATCTGTTTCTGAGAAGGTTGTTCACACCCTGCCGGCTGGTGAACAGGTCTTCATGTCCTCTCGGCTCACACGTGTCTAACCACAGACCTCACTCAGCAGAGTTTGCAGAAGTGAGCCGTCCACTGTGTGGTATCCTTCATCAAGCTTCTGCAGAGATGGATTTAAATGTTGAGTCTTACTTCCTCAACCTCTGCTGTTAGTCCGCGTCTGTGAATTCAAAGAAACTCCATGTGACTAACAGTGGTCCTGCAGGTGGCTGTGGTAGACCTGAACAAGACGTGTGGAGAGGAGAGCAAGGCACTGCTGGACGCCGAGTTCGGAGAGGGACACTGCCACTTCATTCCCTGTGATGTGTCCAATGGAGATGCACTGAGAGGTAACACTGTCCACACAGAAGAGACATGACCACTGACAACAATGCCCCTCACTCACCCAACCTGCAGAGATAAACACTCTAACACACAGGAACACATACGAAGGGCTGGGCCCATAGGCGGCGCGTGAGGCTAAGGTTTGGGAAGGCTTAGCCTTCCCTAGCCTACAGTACCCGCCGCCCCTGGCTGGGCCCCTCTCTAGAGGTGAGGTATACTGCCTCGTAAATTAGCAAAGTCAATCAAATGAAGGTACATTATTCTTGATACTTGAATATGCTTTATGGAAAGAAAAGAAAACAGCCTTCATCACAGCTTTCCAGAGGGTTTCACTTATTTTGTTACATCATCATCATCCCTTAAAAAGAAGCCTCAGATTGCTTATAATAATGTGAAATATGAAGGGTAGATTTCAAGCTTGTTATGTAAGTTATTGGGCTATTTTTATCAACTAAGATTGATTGAATATATTAAAAAAACGACGCTTATCGAAAAATACCGATACCGATAAGCAGTACCGGTATCGGTATTTTCCGATACTCTTATCGATACTTTTCAATAATTTGGTGCTCAAAATTATAGACATGAATACAAGATGTGAAGATGAAACAGTCATTTTATTGTAAATAACTGTATAACTTATACATTAGCTTCTCAGAAGCCGACACAAATAAATAAAATGACTTAAAGGGGCCTGGCTCGCCCTGTCATGCTTTTGGGGGTTTCCCTCAGAGGATGAAAAGAGGCATTTTTTAAACATTTGTAAATCAGTTACATCTTCATCCAGACATTTCAAACGAACAACCTAGCTCGACAAGAGATCCTTAAAACATTGTCCTACAGTGACTTCATGCAAAACTGTGATATGAAGAAATTGGTCAAAAGGCTAAGATGGCAAAAAGATAAAGGCGAGTGCGTATATTATTCTGGATTGTACTTTTAAATCATCACAAAATAAATGATGTGCTGAACTGAAACACGTCAACATGTGTCTGAAGGTTTAAACATAGAACAAAGTATTTGAGCTTAAAATATGTCCATTCCTAGAAAACGACCAACAATTGCTGAACCATACATTGAAACGTTGACCTTGAACAACATTTAAATGCAGTTTTCCAATTCACAATGACATCTGTAAGTTTAACTGGTTTATAAAGCATTCAATGAAAGGCCACATTATTATAGGTGTAGGAGCTCACATTAATACACTGTCAGTGTTAATAAACTAAAAAAAAGACAAGGTGATGTGCCTGCAAGACTTCACTCAGGTAAACAAAACATATTACCCATGCGCAGCAGCAAACCTGCCTGCGAGCCTTCTCTCAGGTCACATTTACACACGGCGCGGCTGAAGCCCGCTAGCACTATTAGCACTAGCAGTATCGCTAGCAGCCACATTGTTTAGGCTGTCAAATACGCTGCACTGTTTTAGATTCAATGAGTTTCTCGTTTGCAAATGCTTCATTAAGTTGCTTGTGTTACCCCCTTTACAAGCAACTCATTGAGTACATAGATTGCACCTTGCACTATCGCCACTCAGTGGCGGTTCTACGGGGTGGCACGGGGTGGCAGCTGCCACCTCAGAAAAATGCCTTGCCACCCCAGCTGCCACCCCAGTTGGCAGCTTTGTTTTGAAAGAAAAGTTGTGGCTCATCGGACATTTATGAGAGAAAATCTCTATTGTCCGAGTGCAAGTGAATGCAGCACAAGACGTGAGCATTGTAACCCCTCCCCCTCCTGGCGCAAGCGTGGAAATATGATTGGCGGCGATTTCATTTGAACGGGGGACAGCGCAAAACGAGAAGCATTTCGGATCCAAGTAGACGGAAGGAATGAGGTATTTGGGTCAGGGTCAGGGTATGGCTGGGGTAGGCTACAGCCATACCAAGAAATCTAAGGATAGAGGGTTTCGTTTTTCTCATACTGATATTCTGAACAATCTGTGTTGTTGTATTTGCTGTAAAGTGTCTCTACTGTAGGCTATTTGTATTATATGTACAGCACTTTGGCTCCACCAAAAATCGTTTATAAATGTGCTATAAATAAAACTTGATTTGATTTGATTTGATTTTAAATGACTTAGCCCCACCTTAGCCCCACCATGAAAAATGATGTTAAGGTAAGCAAAATAAAGTCCGCCAACTCGCGGAGTAAATTGCACAGACAGCAGTTAGTAAGATTGATTTCAGCCACTTGTCTGGAAATACCGAAGACTAGAAACGGTTTTGAAAACTTTTGTCACGTAGTGATCGTCTTCTCAATAGAACATCTTTGATAATGTCTTCTGGCCAATCAGAATCAAGATAACGGCATGGTGTTGTTAAAGGAAGTCCCGACGGAGAATACTTTTGCTGTAGTACATCTCTATATACATCGATACACATTACATGTTGATAGAAATCAACACGTAATGAAATAAGACCCCACGGTTTGATGATTGATAGTTGTGTGGGCTGTCTTTCATTTTGACACACAGAACAATGGGGGCTATCCACCCTTATCCACAATGTAAAGTAATTCACAGCCTCTTCCCTCTTCTCTCTGTGAGGAGCAGCAGGTTCAGCTTTCAGAACAAAGTAACAAAAAACGAAATACCATTCATTTTTTTAAATATGTCGTGGAGTAATAGATGTATTTATTTGTCTTCTCAAGAGAGTACCAGAATGTGTATTTTATGTTAGTATTTCAAAAAATCTCCTGGGGGCGAATCCCCCCAGACCCCCCTGCAGGGGTTGGGTTTTCAGCACGTCAACTCTTTCACTTGTGGGGAAATTGCAGGATTGGCTCCAGGTCGCCCTTTTTATTTACTACAAGACAAATGTGCCTTTTTATTTCATACAGTTCCATTTGGATTGAGACAGGGAAATAATCTGAACCTCACGCGTGGCGTTTCACTGTCAAGGGGAGCGGGTATGTAATTACATTGCAAATACTGACTTGAGCCCCACCACTGTATGGGTTAGCCCTACCATAGATTACCCAACACAAATACTGTTTGCGGTCTACAATGACAGAGAAGAGCCTGTCAAGTTTGGCTGTACTCAGCATTGAATCAAAACACACCATAGCTTTAAATCGTTTGTGAGGCGTTTTGCTGATCAAGATGGTAATCGCCACATTCAGCTGTTATAGGCATGCCAACTTGATGCTCTGCTCACGGATGAGTCGATGAGAATAATAAACTGTTAAAATGATGACCTTACGTGTGTATAATATTTTTCGTCTTTGAGGGGTTCTGCCCCCAAAAAACTGTTTTAAGTCCTGAGAAAGTCAAATCAGACGGTGTGTAAAACTTCACTGCCCAGCCAACAGAAAGTAACCACTTTGATTGAACTAGGCCAGTAGGTAAGGACCTTCCACTGGATAATAACTGCAGCGATGTTTTAGCTGAATACACGTTTTTAACCCTAACTTATGCAGTTAGTCACTTCTTTAATGTTTGTTCTTTCTGATGTAAAGTCAAGGTTGTAACTGTTTGCAATGAAGTTGTGGGGCGCTGAACTGTTCTTTTGATATATGATAGTAATTACTTGTCTTTCAAATTTGAAGGAGGGTGAGCAAGCATCTTGAGGAACATTCATCATTATCTCCTCCAACAAATATAGTTTATTTAATAATAACACTGAATATGTGAATCATAACAGTGATTGACAGCTGATAGGAATAATATGATTGTTAATAGTATCATATTCATTTAGACAAACATCGATGAGACAGTTAATTAATGTACTTATTGCAGCAGTCTACATACATTTGGTACCCCTGCTGGTCTAAGAGTGAGACAAACTCATTCAGTTATTGCTCAGTTAAAATGCATTAAATTATGTCTGCCACCTTATATATTTATATGTAAGGCTTTACTGATGTGCCACAATAATGTCACCAAATGTTATTGAGTTAAAATATCAATATTGTGGCTTTCCAAGTTAACATTGATTGATATGACTGCGATTAAATCAGCATATACTTCTGCCAGGGGATACCGTCCCTCAAATTCTCCTGCCACCCTCTTGCCACCCCATGAATATTTTTCTAGATCCGCCCCTGTCGCCACTACATTTTTTAAAGTGCACCCAGACCTTCGATGGCTTCGCTCTGTCCGCTATGCCTGCGGGAGTCTCACAACAATAATAAGAGCGCTGTTGAGAGAGATGACGAGTGGTATTTACAGTGGCCAATCAGAGGGGTCTCAAACCGGATACATCACACGGGATGAGGGTTCCCAACCAACCAGAATGGTTTAAAGTTAAACTAAGGAAGTAGACGTAACACATATACTGATAGCAGCACCGTTTGTCCAGCGGCTTAACGGTATACCGATACCGTCCAATCAGGTACCGGTATTGACTTAGTACCGGTTCTCGATACCCATTCCTAGTCATATATGTTTAAATATATATTTAAGAAGTACAACATAAGACAAGCACAAGTTTAGACACCCCTTCTCTAATACATTCATTACTAATAGCTACTTCTTATTAGTGAGCCTGCAGACACGTGTCCTGTGGAGGGGACAGCTGCAGTAAGCAGGTGATCTCACTCAGGTGTGTCCCTCCAACAGGCTGTAGTCACATGTAGTGAGTGAGTGAGTGAGTGAGTGAGTGAGTGAGTGAGTGAGTGAGTGAGTGAGTGAGTGAGTGAGTGAGTAAGAAAGAGAAAAAGAGGAGAATGATAGTGTGTGGGTGAGTGAGTGAGGAACAAGGTTTCATTGTCTGTTAGTGAAAAAGCAAATCCCTGCAGGCTAACGGCTGAGGAATGCTGTTTAGTGTTCCTCACTGTGATTGTACTGCTGTTGATGGTGGACACATTGTCCACATGGTGTGTGTGTGTGTGTGTGTGTGTGTGTGTGTGTGTGTGTGTGTGTGTGTGTGTGTGTGTGTGTGTGTGTGTGTGTGTGTGTGTGTGTGTGTGTGTGTGTGTGTGTGTGTGTGTGTGTGCGTGCGTGCGTGCGTGCGTGCGTGTGGAATGCAGCAGGTGATGACACACGCAGGTTTAACCACCTCAGCTTTCTGTTTATCTGGCCACGTCTCTGATGCAGGACTAAACTACAGACACACACACACATACACGCCAGGGTTTCCGTTAGCCGGTAATTACCGGTTTTTAGCTGGTAAAATGTATTAAAAACCGGTAAATTCAAAACCTGCCGGTCAAAATGTCTGGTAATAATTAGGGAGGCTCCGATAGATCGGCCGCCGGTCATTATCGGCCGATATTCACTCTTAATAGTTTGATCGGTGCTCTCTATAAAGGCCGATCAGGAGAGCTGGATCTGATCGATATGGACATAAACGCGAGTGAAGTATAACCGGACACGAGAGAGAGATCAGATCAGCTGCTGAGTCTGACCGAGACACGCAGCTCTGCATAATCACCTGAAGCCCCGCCCACTGTTTAGCGAGCTGCAGGAGCTGCATGAGAAACTGACGGGCTGTCAGGAGAGAGGGAGGGAGGGAGAGGGGAAAAGAGAGGATCCGTTTCTCCCGTGTTATTATTCAAAGTTAATGTAAACTTTGGAATAATGTACTTCATCTACTACAAGTAGTTTGTTTGAATGTAATAATTATGTTGTTTGTTGTTTGTGGAATCATTTATTGAAAAATGGATCTGAATTGTTCGATCTGTTACGATTATAAACTGAAGCAATATAAAAATGAGCCCCGTGAACTGAGTTTTAAACTGAAGCATATCTGCTCATAGTCCGGTAATTACCTGCTAACGGAAACTCTGCTACACAACTCTTATTATTATTATTGAAATATGACCGGTAAGTTTCAAATTTGTCCGGTAAAATAAATTCTGCCCGGACATTTGACCGGCGAGAAAAAATCCTAGCGGAAACCCTGATACACGCATAACATGTATACATCCCTTCAGGGGACATTACATTGACTTACATGCATTTCCTGGAGACTTATCCAAACCTTAACCCTAACCAACACATGCCTAACCCTAACCCTAAACCTAACCCTTACCCTAACCCTAATCCTAAACCTAACCAAGTCTTCACCCTAAAATGAATGATTCCCCTCATGGGGACCTCCATTTTGTCCCCATTAGGGAGGCGAGTCCCCACACGTGAATGTGTAAACAGATTTAGGTCCCCACAGGTATAGTAATGCTAGGCCACACATACACACACACACACACAAACAAACGCACACACACAATGTTTATCCCCTCATTCACACTGTCTGTGTCGTATTTGTGTGGATATTGAACCAACATGTCTTTATTCCGTCTGGCATCATATATGAGGAAACCTCTGCAGTGAAGGGCCCCCTCCCTGTGTCTTTCAAACATTAGAACAAGATAAACTCCACATGGACCTTGTGCTTTGGTTTATCTAGTCCTCTAACATGAGAGAAAAACGGACAGAGCGGTCATGTTATGGGTGTTATTCTTATTTTACAGAACACGTGTGTACAGTCTTTTGGGATCATGTGTGATCCTGTGACGCTTCAAACACTCACCTCTTCTTCATAAAGCTGAACCTCAAGAGGTCAGTGTGGTGTGTTTGGAGTGTCAGAGGACCGGAGGACACACTGAGGGGACACCTGAACCTGAACAGAGTCATAGCACACACTCCTGATCCGCAGGGAGGTCAGGGTGGAGCTGATGTTTGTTGTTTGTGTGGCAGAGGCCTTCCAGAGCACCGTGGAGCAGTTTGGCCGTCTGGACATCGTTATCAACAATGCCGGCATCAACAATGAGAAGAACTGGGAGAAGACCATACAAGTGAACCTGGTAAGAGGAAGAGAAGAATGCACTTTAACACTCTCGGTGTTTGGCCCTCCATTTCTTACTGTGTGTGTGTCAGGCTCTCTGTAGCCCTCAGGGCCACGACCCCCTCGGGGGGCCTGCCCACCTGCCAAATATGAAAACACAATGAATTACTCAAATGACTGAACACCTTCAATGAAAAAATGTAGGTTTTAATATATTTCAGTCATCTTACTTTTATTGTATAAATAGAATAAGTGCATGACCAAGGTCTTCACTACCTCTGATAAAGAAAATAATTGACCTTGTTGTTATGATCATAAAATGCTGTTGTGATGATTCTCACAATGGTTAAACACTTGCAGTTGTATTAACTGCAAGTGTTTAACCCTGTCAAAGTGTGCTTGAGTGTAAGAGAGTAGATAACGTATTTAAAGTCAAGTTACTTTATATAAAAACTGAGAAACAGTCAGTAAACATGGGGCAAGAAGATATTACAGGAAGAAATAAACCCTAAAGGATCCCCCCCAGCAGAGGATGGAAAGATGTGTGTAGTTTGACAGACTGCATGTAAGTCAGGCTGCAGCATCACAGACAGCGACCCGATGCTCCTAACATGTGGAACCTCTGGACAGGAGGCCAGACGTCAGTTAAACAGTTAATGCAGGCGGGAGAGCCCGGAGGTGACTCTGATACAAACCAAACACTATATACAATGTTCCAATGATGAGAACATATCTGAAAAACCCTAAACTTTCTGTCAAGAAGCTGCAGTAGAATATAGTCTGGATACTGCAAGGCGTAACCAATGATACTAAAATATAATTCAAGGAAAGCTTTTGTAAAATACATACAGTACTCCATGACTAAAGGTGAGCAGAAGAGGGTCCTGCTGGGGGAACATGGACACCTTAGGGCAGGGGTGTCAAACTCAAGGCCCGGGGGCCAAATCCGGCCCGCGACTTCATTTTATTATTTATTATTTATTAATTATTTGTGCTTGCAAAGAATATAATACGTTTATTATACGGTTACATCATATGCCACTTTACAGAAGCAGGTTGCCCATAAACTACATGTCCCACAATGCATCTCGTTTTGTGACATGCACACTGAAGAGACTTCTGCTTTCAGACGTAGTTAATGACTAAGTTATTATCCTATCCGATACTAATCCAATTCAGAGGCAATAATGTAATATAATACATTATTTTATATATATATTATATATTTATATAGTTACAACCGGCCCTTTGAGTGCAACCTTTATGCAAATGTGGCGTGATGAAATTGAGTTTGACACCCCTGCCTTAGGGTGTGGAGAGCTCTCTAGGACCATCAGAATATCAGACACACTGCTCCATTACAGTGTCGCTTCCTTCAGGAGGTCCTCCTTATTTGAAGATTCCTTCAGGATGGAGAATGTGTTCCTAGAAACACTACAGCTAGCAGGAACACAGATGTAAAATGTGACAAATATTATACAGAGCAAGAAGTTTATTAAAAGATGACAAAAAGTGTGAACAAATAAAGTATCTAAAGTGCTGTACTGTGAGAGGAAGACCTTGTACCTTAACAGAGACTCTGAGCGGTGGAAGACTCTACCTTATATCTCATCTGTCCCACGTGTGCTTGGTCAAGTCAAGTCCTCAGATAAGAGTGTTTTTTATGGACAGTATCGGGTTTTTGAAGTATCCCGTGAATGTGTTAGAGCATGTAAACAGGACATCTGAATTTCAGAAACCCAGGCACTCCTTATCCAGTTCATGAGAAACCCGAAAATGATAGCTACAGTGGGAACTCCAAGTCTCCCCCCCCCCCCCCCCCCCCCTCCAAACAGGACACTTAATTGGCCTGAAATAGTTATGCCAACATTTGTAATTAATCACAGTTGAAAAAACATGCAAATATGCATTAACTGTTTCCACAACATAAAGCTTACAGAGAGCGGAGCGAACAGATGTCCTCTGAAAACACAAGCAGAAATAGCTTTACTGATCAGTAGGGTCACATGTTTCAATCTTGGTTCCTGCATTGGTCGACACTTGTCTGTAGAATGTTCTCCTCTTGTCTCTACAGACCTCTGTGATTAAAGGGACCTACTTGGCACTGGAACACATGAGTAAAGAGTACGGCAAGGAAGGAGGCATCATCATTAATGTATCCTCTATGGCAGGTAACACAAAAACACACACACACTCGCACACACCACTGTTACTTCAGATCTGAAGAGAAGACATGATGATAAAGGCTAAAATACCAAATTCAAGGCTTCAAAACTGTGGTCCTCAAACCAAGTGGACTCTGTCATTTTCTTATTTGTAAAGTCTATGCTTAGCCTAACATTGTCACTTTCACAACGGCCAGTTTTTTATCTGAATCAATGCCAGCAGCAGAGCTGAGCAGAGGTGTGTTAGGTGCTGTTTACACGAGAACGAAATGGGTTGTATCTGCTACTTTTATCTTTCGTATAGCCCGTTTGTTCACACTAGGCCATAACGGAACCGCGGAAACGGACCCCTCAAACGATAACGGGTCCCAAGGTGGATAGATCTGTGGACGGAACGCTCTGGGGGGCCGTGTGTACGTCCTATACCAGAGGTGCCCAACCAGTCAATCTCCCCGCGATCGAACGGTCGATCGCGGGGAGATTCCCAGTCGATCGCGAGATGTGTCTAAAAATAGAACAACAATATTCAGTTTTATCGTTAATGTCCTATAACATAATCTTCCTGTGCCAGAATAATGCACTTGAACGCATCAAAGCTTTGTGATTGACCCCCCCCCATGTGTCGGGGCGTGGCTGGTGGGCAGTATTTCGCTGACTTTGTCCGTGTCAACAGGAGTGACAGTCCGCACACACACAAGACCGCAATTATGGCAGAAGCAAAAAAGCCCAAAATATATAATTTTCACTCCGAGTGGGAGGATGATTATTTTTGTATCTATTCCAATTCAAAGTCCATCTGTCTCATCTGCAATGCGAGCGTGGCTTTATCGAAGAAGGGTAATTTAGGAGCGGCATTTAAAAACAGTGCACAAACGCTACGAGACGGAATTCCCTCCTAATTCTGCCCTTCGCTCCCAAAAGGGGAGGGGCCTGAAAGGACAGCTAAATGCACAGCAGTCCATTTTCACCCGGCCCAACAACAAGAGCAAGGCTGCTACCATAGCATCTTATCGTGTCAGTCACGTTCTTGAGAAACACATGAAGTCCTTCAAAGACGGCGAAGTTGTGAAAGAAGCATTCCTGGAGGCTGCCGACGCGCTTTTTGGGGGACAGTAAAAATAACAGAAGCATTTCAACAGGTTTTTGATATAATAAAAACTCAAGTTAGATACCGTTATTAATCAGCTGTAAGTTTGAGTTTGTTTGAACTTATTCATTATAATTATTGTACACAATGGTATAATAATGCAAACTTAAATTGATTATAGTCTATTATCAGTTCAGGTTAAGAAACTAGTGTTGCTTGCATCCTATTTTAAAGGCATTTCTTTTTATAATCTACTAAAATGCAACAAAAAAAGGGTTTGATTCTATTAATTTTGTCTTTTTTATTGCACTTTGGCAGCAGATTCCTGTGTAGCTTCAGATCTGAGTTGTCTTATTAGTAAGCCTCATTTATACTTTTGTAGCAACACTATTTTTATATAATGGCAAAGAAAGGGTTCAGAGTCTTTTATTTTTTCCCTGTGTCATATGTGGCAGCACTGTTCAATGTTTCTTGAAAACATTACCCACTGTAGTATGTGACGTGTGAATAAACTCCAACTCTGTATCAACAACACTGTTGTGTAACTTCAGTTAAATACTTGTATGTGTGTAGATTAGAAAGAGGTAAGATAAAGGATCTGCAGTATTTTATGAAGTATTAATCGTACAGAGGTCAGTTTTATACAAGTAGAAGTGTGTATTTACCTGGTAGTAGGCTGTCAGTAATGGCTACGCCTCTCTATTTGGACTGGTAGATCTCGGCAGACTGGTAACTTTAAAAGTAGCTCTCGGTTCAAAAAAGGTTGGGCACCCCTGTCCTATACGATAATTTCCTGATAACGATGAAGCCATAGCCCCGCCTCTCCCCACCTCTGCTGCTCACTGCTGTAGCATGATCAGTAGCTACTGCTACTGATCATGCTACAGATGTTAGTGCAAAATCTACAGCTCCTCTACCACAACCATCAGCAACAAGAGGACATGGAGAATGAGATGAACTACATGTTGCTAAATCCACCGCAGGGCATAAACAGAAGGGCAACCATGGCAACCATACTCGGGGGGTCTTCTACGTTGCTTTTGGTGTCGTTTGTGGTGGAAGTACAGCGCCACTTACAGGCCCGGCATATGTACTACAGCGTCTCCAGCGCTTTCGAGCGGTCTCGCGTGAACGGAAGACTTTTGTTTTATCGAATTCGGTTCGTTTGCGTTTGCATTCCCGTGTAAATGGGGTCTTAGTTTCACCCACCTCCCCTTCACACACCTCCCTCTGAGACCCTTCTACAATCTCTGTCACTTACTGTATGCAGTCGGAATCAGTCTATGATTTTATAAATATCTGTTTCCCTTTGAAACAAACTTGAAGGATACTATTGATAAATGTATCATTTTGAAAGGATATTTAATGCATACATTTATTTTTATTTGTTTCGCTGGCATATGTTAACTTGATTTAAACGACCATCATGGGCTCATGATATCAGTTTTTAGTGTTGAATCGTAGTTTTGGCTTCAGAACTGTGGCTTATTTAAAATGTCAAAAGCAAACAGGTTTAATGTGGAAGCGTAATATAACCGAATCGCACACACTGCTCCATTTCCCTTTAGTCACTAGCTACTAGGTCGACTGTATATTCCTCAAACTGCATGGCTCAGATTGTATATATATAATATATCAACTTTGAAGCTTTAGTGACACCTCAGTAGTAGTTTGAAGTCGTAGCACTCCTCCCCAAACATGACCTTTTCTGAGACACAGGGATTCATTTATGTCAGAATGTCACAGATGATTCATTTGTCTTGAAGCAAGAGAACAGATCTTCTCTCTCCTAGAGTGTTCGTTCTGTGGGAAACACACAAAATAACACACTACCATGTGGGCGCAGACACACACCTGTTCCCCTGGTTCATCTGCTGTCATGCTGATTTGTTCTCCTGGGGGGGGTTGGTTTGTGGTCAAACATCCCCCAACTGTTCCGCAGTGTGCTGCCCTGTCAAAGGTTGTGTTTTGCTGGATATTAGGTTGATGTAAGTGTGCTCTCTGTCTTCTTCGGGTAACTGACACATAGACTTTTTTAATAGGGCGATGTTAACAGTATATACTCTGCTGCTGTTTTATTTCATTTTGGTTCTAATACTGTTAGAGTAAGTTTAATATCTGAGTGCAGGCTGTTCTTGTGGTGGAAGTTGACTTTCCTCTGGTTGAGTCTCCTGCAGCAGTATCTAGTTATTTTATTGTCAGATTACAAATACAGTGGAGGAAATAAGTATTTGATCCCTTGCAGATTTTGTAAGTTTTCCCACTTACAAAGAAATGAACAGTCTGTCATTGTAATGGTAGGTTTATTTGAATAGAGAGTAAGAATATCATAAAGAACATCCAGAAATGGACATTATATAAAAGATAAAAATGTATTTGCATTTAACTTTGGGAAATAAGTATTTGATCCCCTTGCAGAACATGTGTTAGTACCTAGTCCTAATCAAATACTCATTTCCCCCAGTTAAATGCAAATCTAATGTGTATCTTTTATATGATGTACATTTCTGGATTTTCTTTTTGATATTCTTACTCTCACTGTTTATATAAACCTACCATTACAATGACAGACTGTTCATTTCTTTGTAAGTGGGCAAACTTACAAAATCGGCAAGGGATGAAATCAGTATTTCCTCCACTGTATGTGTTACTTATGCTGCTTTTAGGAGGAGAGTGGCTATCTGACAATGTGTAGTGAAGTAACAGCCACTGGGGCAGAGGTCAGAGAGAGGTCAGAGGTCAGCAGACGGTGATGTCTGCAGGCCACTCTGAAAGAACTGATGCTGTTAGTGTAACGTTGAGGCCTGCTTCATGGTGTTCGGGCAGATAACATTACATTACTTGCCTAACAACCGCTACCATTATTTTGTTTTTGTTTTTTCAATAGAAATAAAACCCTTTTTTTATCAAAAAATGCAATTTGTAAAGAAAAAGCATTTGTTATCAATACATAGCTTTTAGATTTTAGCATTATTCTGACATATGGCATCTTTTCTCTATTTGAGATGAACGAATGTGTATGCATGTTCCTTGTTCAATAAAGACATAATAATGATACATAAAGAACAGTAATTACACGCAGGTTTGTTACTGTGCACTTCAGCTGGATTTCTGTAGGTTTAATAACATTCCAGAGGATTTTGTTGATTATTGTAGAACTCACCATCCACATCTACAGGAGCCCGGAGCAACACATAAATCACATAAATCACATAAATAAAATCACATAAATCATGTTTCACTTATCTCCCCCCCCCCCCCCCCCCGATAACATTGTTTTCTTGCATTTGTCGCCGGGCTCCCAGCCAGCGAGCCGTCTACAGTTTGAGGACAGGTTGAGAGTGTTCTGGCTCTAAGACGCTAATCACTCCCTTTACCAGATAACACTGCGAGACTCTGAGCACCAGCTATCCTGAGGGAAGCTTCGGAGGGAACCAGATGGTTCCATCAGTCTTTCCTTCCTATACCCAGGTGGGACAAACCATTTGCAGGTCAGGACCTCTGGAGGCCCCAGCAGAGTTTCCTCTGGAGGCCCAGCAGAGTTTCCTCTGGGGGCCCCAGCAGAGTTTCCTCTGGGGGCCCAGCAGAGTTTCCTCTGGGGGCCCAGCAGAGTTTCCTCTGGAGGCCCCAGCAGAGTTTCCTCTGGGGGCCCCAGCAGAGTTTCCTCTGGGGGCCCCAGCAGAGTTTCCTCTGGGGGCCCCAGCAGAGTTTCCTCTGGGGGCCCAGCAGAGTTTCCTCTGGAGGCCCCAGCAGAGTTTCCTCTGGGGGCCCAGCAGTTTCCTCTGGGGGCCCAGCAGTTTCCTCTGGGGCCCCAGCAGAGTTTCCTCTGGGGGCCCAGCAGTTTCCTCTGGGGGCCCCAGCAGAGTTTCCTCTGGAGGCCCCAGCAGAGTTTCCTCTGGAGGCCCCAGCAGAGTTTCCTCTGGGGGCCCAGCAGTTTCCTCTGGGGGCCCAGCAGTTTCCTCTGGGGGCCCAGCAGAGTTTCCTCTGGGGGCCCAGCAGTTTCCTCTGGGGGCCCCAGCAGTTTCCTCTGGCTGCTGGTGACATGTCTCCTCTCTCCTTGTTCTGTCTGACTCAGCCTTCCTGCACTCCCCTCACCAGCCTGTCTACACTGCAACTAAACATGGAGTCATCGGCTTCACTAGAGCTATGGCGGTAAGACAGACACACACACACACACACACACACAAACACCACACACACACACACACACAGTTAACATGAAGCTACTGAAAGCTCCGCTCACATCCTGTCTCGCAGGACGCGTCCTCACAGGGCGATTACGGCGTCCGGATCAACGTTCTGTGCCCGGCCTTCGTGGACACTCCTCTGCTGCACTCAGTGGAACATGAGGACAACATGGGCAAGTTTGTCAAGTTCAAGGACGACTTCAAACGAAGCATGAGCAAGTTTGGAGTTTTACAGTAAGTTAACAAACAAACGTGTCTCTGATAGTTTAAATGATATGTTATGTATGTTTGTGTACATAACATGTTTATCTGTGTAATGATAATTACATGTTTAACTGCTCAGAATTTGTACTGACACAGCAAGGGTTTAAAAGGTCTTGGAGTCTTGGTCGTTATAAATCTTGCCAATCGTTGTTTTGATTAAACATGAGCCAGTTCAGCACTGGGCATCGAAGTTGTCTAAGTGCAGAACATATCTAAAACATATATTTGATTAATGTCTGGTTACTCATGAGTCAGTGAGAAGTCAGTGAGAAGTCAGTGAGAAGTCAGTGAGAAGTCAGTGAGAAGTCAGTGAGAAGTCAGTGAGAAGTCAGTGAGAAGTCAGTGAGAAGTTGAGCTCAGGTCATTGAAGGACACACATACTGAACATGACCAGAACATGTCCACTGCCCCCTGGTGGAGGGCTGCAGGACATGGCTCATTGGCCCCCTGAGAGCTTAAGGGGCAAAACTACAAATCCAGTTACATGTCAAATCTTTTTTTTTTCCATAAAATATATATTTTGAAGCTCTTTTTTGGGATGTTGGGAGGAATTGGAGAAGCATTGTCTGTTTATTTGGTTTATTTAGATAAGACTATAAAATAACCTGCATTTTATTTATTTTTTTAACATATCAAAAGCTTTAAAGTGTGTGGCATTTTAAGTTAAGTTAAAGTTAAAGCCTTTTATTGTCATTATACACAGAGTATAACGAGATTCAGAGTGCAACTCTGTCCCGGTGTGAAAAAAATACAAACAAATACATAACACTAAAAAACACGGCAATAGGACAGACAACATACGGGGGAATAAATAGTTAAAAATATTGATATAAAAAATAGTACATAAAGTGCATTTAAAAGTGTGTGTATGTGTGAGAATGGTTACAGTTATTGCATTATGTGTGGTGGTTGAGCAGCCTGACGGCCCAGGGGTAGAAACTGTTTTTGAGTCTGTTTGTCCGTGACTTGAAGCTCCTGTATCTCCTCCCAGAAGGCAGGAGAGAGAACAGTCTGTGACCTGGGTGAGAGCTGGGTGAGAGCTGGGTGAGAGCTGGGTGAGAGCTGGGTGAGAGCTGGGTGAGAGCTGGGTGAGAGCTGTCCTTTATAATTTTGTTAGCTCTGCTGAGGCAGCGGGAGGTGGAGATGTGTTCCAGAGAGGGCAGGGGGCAGCAGAGGGTTTTCTCTGCCATCCTGATCACTCTCTGCAGGGCTTTCTTGTCCGCAGCTGAGCATCCTGCATACCCCCCCGAGATGGAGTATGACAGCACGCTCTCGATGGTCGCCCGGTAGAAGGACACCAGCAGCTTCTTGTTCAGTCGGTTTCTCCGAAGCACCCTCAGGAAGTGAAGTCGCTGCTGGGCCTTCTTAACTGCTGCAGTGGTGTGTGCTGTCCAGCTGAGGCTCTCCGAGATGTGAACCCCCAGGAACTTAAAGGTGGAGACCCTCTCCACTCTCTCTCCATTGAGGTGAAGGGGGACGGGTTCTGGACGGTGCTTTCTGAAGTCTATGATGATTTATTTTGTTTTGCTTGTGTTCAGATACAGATTGTTTGCTGACCACCACACAGACAGCTTCAGGATCTCGTCTCTGTATGCCGACTCGTCGTCTCCCTTATATATTTGGCCGACCACAGTGGTGTCATCTGCACATTTGATAATGGAGTTGGAGGGGTGAATGGGAGAGCAGTCGTGTGTGTAGAGAGTGTAGAGTAGAGGGCTCAGCACGCAGCCCTGCGGGGAGCCAGTGCTGAGGGTGCGGGTGGAGGAGCAATAAGGGCCTATTTTCACTGTCTGAGGACGGTCTGTAAGGAAATTATTAATCCAGGCGCATAAGATGGAGGGGAAACCTAGGCTTGACAGTTTTTCCACTAGTATGTCAGGTATGATGGTGTTAAAAGCTGAGCTAAAATCGACAAACAGCATCCTTATATAATTGCCTGGGCCTTCTAGGTGGCTCACAGCTGTGTGAAGGACCGTGGCGATGGCATCATCCGTGGATCTGTTGGCTCTATAGGCGAACTGATGAGGGTCGAGGGAGGGTGGGAGGATGGCTTTGATGTAGTCGGCTATCAGTCTTTCGAAACATTTAATCACCGCCGATGTTAGGGCTATGGGCCTGTAGTCGTTGAGCTCTCTGACTGGTGTCTTTTTGGGGACAGGAATGATGGTAGCCGTTTTCAGACAGGATGGAATGCAAGCTTGTGACAGGGACAGGTTGAATATACTGGTCAGGACCCCTGAAAGCTGGTCAGCACAAGCTTTGAGTACTTTTCCGAGTACTCCATCGGGTCCTGTGGCTTTTCCAGGATTCACAGACTTCAGCGTCTGCTTCACCTGATGTTCTTTGAGAGTGAGAGGTGGTATGGAGCTGGTAGTTTGCAGGGACAGAGGCAGAATAGAAAAGTGGGGGGATCTGCTAGCCTCAAAGCGGGCCAAGAAGTGGTTTAGTTCCTCTGCAAGGTGGGCGTCAGCTCTAGTAGTGCCAGATGTTTTGCCCTTATAGTTGGTTAGCTGTTGAAGGCCCTGCCAAACACACCGTGTGTTGTTATGAGCGAGATTCTCCTCCACTTTTCCCTTGTAGTCCTCCTTTGCAGCCTTGATGCCTCTCCTCAGATTCGCCCTTGCCAAGCTGTACTGGGCTGCGTCCCCCGACGTGAAGGCTGTGTCACGGGAACTCAGGAGAGACCGCACCGCTCTTGTCATCCATGGTTTTTGGTTTGGGTAGACCCGAATGAGTTTTTCCACAGTTACAGTGTCTGTGCAGAACTTGATGTAGGATAAGACAGCCTCTGTGTGTTCCTCCAAGTCTGTCTGTTCAAATATGTCCCACGCTGTGTGTTCGAAGCAGTCTTGCAGTTGTGAGAGTGCCCCCTCGGGCCAGGTTCTAATATATTTGACCACCGGCTTGGTGTTACTTCTGAGGGGGGTGTAAGCTGGGATGAGAAGCAGTGAGAAGTGTTCAGATAGTCCTAAATGGGGGAGTGGGACCACTCTGTAAGCATGCTTCAGGTTAGAATACGCCCAGTCCAGTGTGTTCTTTCCTCTGGTGGTACATCGTACATATTGTAGAAATTTGGGAAGCACATTTTTTAGACATGCATGATTGAAGTCTCCAGCAACAATATGAACTCCGTCCGGATGGGACCTCTGTTGTTTATTTATTAAGCTCTGGAGGTGGTCAAGTGCAATGCTGGCGTTAGTGTTAGTGTTAATTATCACCACCGTCAGCTCTCTGGGCAGGTAAAAGGGTCTGCACATGATAGACATTACTTCCAGGTCGGGAGAGCAATGTGTATGTGTAACCCTACTGTCCATGCACCAGTCGTTGTGGATGTAAACACACACCCCCTCGGCTCTTACCGGAAGCGCTGTTCCTGACGTAGCCGTGGGTAGAGCGGCCTGGTAGCTGCACTGCTGCGTCCGGAATCCGCGGGTGTAGCCAGGATTCTGTGATAATCATCACACAGCAGTCGCGTACGTTCGTGTTAGCAGCTAGTAGTACCTCCAATTCGTCAATTTTGTGGACGATGGACCTGGCATTTGCGAGGAAGAGGCTTGGTAGTGGTGGTCGGTGCGGCCGCTTCCTTAGCCTAGCAAGCAGGCCTGCACGGCAACCTCGCTTCTGCTTCCTCTCCCTCCGGCGCCTGCGTTGCTTCACAGGCCCGAAAACAATCCAGGGAGACCCGAGCGGTCTCGCTATGTCCTCCGGGATGTTGTTAGTCCGGTGGAAATCGGCTGTGATGTCAGAGCGACAACTCATCCCTATGTAAAATAAGTCCATGCGACTGTATATGTAATTCGCCTGTTCTAGGGTGTTCACGCACATGCAAGGTTGTGTTATATTGTGACAGCACACTACATGGTCTGTAGTGTGTCATTACTGAAGAATGGAAAGTACATCAGCACAGCTCTGGTTTTGTATAAACTGTATAATGTAACTCTTTGTTGTTTTTAAATGTGAAACATATGAATACAAGTATTGTGAATACTGAGATGGAATATGAGTAGTGGTCACAGTTATGTGTTTCAGTCACAGGACGTTCAGCAGACTGATGAATTGCTCTTTGTACCTAAGATTGTGTCTGTGAGCTGATGGTGATTTATTCTCTCCAAACAACTGCAGTGAAATGTGTGTTCGAGAACACTCAGTCTGTCTCTGTCCTGCTCTGATTACATTATTTCACACAAGTGGCCCAGAGTCCACTTGGCAGCTGAATGATACTTTATCTGTCTTTGTTTATTTGGAGCCGTTCTAAGAGACTGAACCGAAGCATGGTCAGAAATGCTCTACACTTGAGAAGACATCAGAGAATCAAATGAAAAATGTTCCAAGGTCCTCCCTTCATCTGAGGGCTCATTACAGCTTATGATGAACTGTGAACGTACCACCAAGCTCTGAGGAACCTTCTTACACTGTGCAGCTCACACACACACACACACACACACACACACATCACAAGTGACTCACTATTTCCTGTGTGTATGAGTTCATGTTGTCTGTGTTTGTCTGCAGGCCTTCTCTGATCGCAGAGGGCATGATGAGGCTGATCATGGACTCCAGTCTGCAGGGGGCAGTGATGAAGATCACATGCTCCAAGGGAATCCACTTCCACACCTATGAACCCATGTCTGCCTGAGCCTAGACACATTGGCCGTTTCTCAATGTCGAGTACACCTGCTGCAGAGCCACTATTTCAAGTATACTACGTCATCGAGCGGCGCAGAAGGACTGTTTGAATGCATGTTAAATGCCCAGCATTCTGCGCCACTCGATGACGTATACTTTAAATAGTGGCTCTGCATCATGTGTACTCGACATTGAGAAACGGCCACAGCCCCTGATTGAATGTGCTGACCTTCATTTGGATGTCCTTCCATATGTCACACTTCTGTCACAATATGCACATATTATGTTCCAGCTTATACATTTGTCAGAAGACAGTTTTAGTGTGTATGAAGACAACGGAGCAGCTGCTCCACTCACTGTCTGTCTACAGAGAATACTGCTCACTAATGTGTTACTTTGATTTTATATTGTGAAATGTTAATAATGGCAATCTGTTTGTAATTTATATTTATATTACAGTATGTGTCATTAATAAATTATATAGATGAAATATATGTGTGTTTCAAATGTTTCCACAATGCAGAAAATAGGGTTTCATCTTAATGTCACTCTGTCACATGCTGATACTGTGGATAACATACACTTTTGTTGATCCTGTATGGAAACTCAGGTGTCTTAGCAACAGCAAGGGTAAACAGGATAGGACAGATATGAATTCAGACAAGGATAGTAATAATTATAATAACTATAATTATTATATAAAAGGTATAATAATAATAATAAAGAAATTACAGAGTAAAAACATGTTAAAAAAGTGACAGTATAAGTTAAAATGTAAGGTGTTTACATACATATACAGTTCAGCCTGTCCTCCTACCAAAAACGACCATATAGGCCGATTGTTCATGCCCTTATTACGAGCCAGAGACACGTTTTAAAGTGTATGTTGTTTCTTACACGACCACTAGAGGTGCTCTAGTGGTCGTGTATGAAACAACATGCTCCCGGCCCGTTCATTGCAAACGCCCCGGAGGGACGTTTATTCACAAATAACCCTCTCTGGAAAATCCTAAATTGTGGAATAGTTGGGCCATTAAAATGCTTTTTGATTCGATTTATGGCGAGAAGTGTATATTGTACTCTTAGAATCCACATCCAGTCGATGTGTAGGATCTATAGTTTGATAGATATTACGAAGATGATTTGAGGTCTCGCCAGGATAACGTGTAGGCAGTGGCGTTTCTATATGTGCCAAAGTGGTGGGGCACAACAAACTTAGATGTCTATATATAAGCTTCTGCAGTGAGGTTCATGGCTGGTGAGGCACTGGCACTGACTCTTCAGGTTTACAATATTTTGACCTAAATCAAAATATAATATTATTTTCAAAAGCTTTTTTTGTCTGATGCTTCGATTAATTTTAACAGACAGTTCAACAGAAGGATACCCAAAAAATGTAATTTTATCATTTAAATATTGAATTGTTCTCTCTTAGTAAGATCCCATTTTCAATAAAATGGTGGTCTTACCTTGACTTGAAGATGAAGTCCATTTGCCTATCCTTCTGGACAAAAATCTCTATTACTTTTTTGTAAAAGTCCTCCCTATCTTCTTGTAGTTTCAAAAGTCTATCATAAATCTAATCGATAGATTTATGATTCGAAAATGATAAAAGTAGGGTAGACATGTGGATATTATCCGGCTGAACAAAACGTGCATTTATCTAACAGCTACGTTTCACACAGATCTTATTTTTAGCTATTTTCTAAAATCCTATGGAGAAATCTCATTGCATTTTTGTCGAGGGAAGCCATGCGCAGCTTACTTCCTGGTTTTAGGACGCGTCTCTCTCCTCCTCTTCACACACCACACTTTTCGCGGCACACGTACTTACAGCCAATCAGCTCTGAATGATGTGAGATGACGTATGGTGGGGATGGCAGCTCTATGCCCCTATGGTCATTATTTTGTTGCCACACACATTAAATAGGACAATACTCTGAGCATGCACAGTGTAGTTTTTACAGTCACCGTTCACTTAGACAGTGAGAGGGAGGGGCATGATCGGGTTTTGTTCCACATGGCTCTAAACAGCTCAATAGGCACACACTGTAGACACTAATTAGAAGAACACATACTAAAACAGCAATGTCAAGACGAATCAGATGATTAAACATGATCTTAAAATATATTTTATATATATTTTATTTTTTGCATGTTGTTGTAATCATTATTTTAATACTTTCTGCTGACACTAATGACCAGTCGCCACTGCGTGTATGCAGCTTCCATGTAAAGTTAGCGTGGGTGAAAATAGTTTTTCCTTTCTCGAAGTTTTCCTAATAAAACCGGAAGTATTCCCCACACTGTCAAATGATTACACAGTGATATCTGCATTACCCATCCACTAAATAACATCAGTTTATCCTTGTTAATTACACAATATTGATTGGTTTAAATGGTGTACAATGCTTTTGTGTTTTTAACCTTCGATTCAGAGAAACAAATAGTTTTTTAGGAGTTTAGACACTACCGTTTCCGAAGACACTACACTACCCAGAATCCCCAGCTATCGTTTGGGACTACAACATCCGCCTTGCTTTACAAACCCAGTGGTTAGTCCTCAAGCCCTGTGATTGGATGTTGGAGTGGCAGTGCGACAAGGTTACGCCAAGCGTCAAACAGCTCTATGAAATGGAATGGAACCACGGCTGACTATCCAAAACTGGAATAGACCTATCGCTAAGCCACGCCCCCTTTGAAAACTCGGACAAACAAAGCCGACCGTGAATGACTGTTGACAATTGCCGCGGGGGGAGTTCAAGTTCAATTGTCAGATTTACCACAGCAGGTAATAGACCTGTTTTTTAAAGATGACACAAATATTTAGTCTAGAAGCAGACAGAGAGGGTTACAGTATGCAGTGGAAAAGTACGTTCATGAGATACAAATGTACAGAAAATAAACCATTAGAATCGAGGCCAAATGCTACCACTCGGAACTGAAAAGTGAGAAACCCCACAGGCTCTGTATCAATGTTGCTGATGACAACACCATCATGGAGCAGTGTTTGTATTGCAGGGTAAGTAATTTCTAACACATTATTACCTTAGACCTCCATGGTGATGCAAGCATTAGCTATAGATAACGTTAGCTAGCTAGCTACTCTCAAACATTACTTACAGTTGATTTGATTGAAGATTACAAGAACTATGACGATAATCCATGATTACTACTATTGCTGATATTTTAGTTTAGGCTAGTGGTCCAACGCGGTAAACGAGCTCTCTCACTCACCCGGTATACTGAGTGGGTGGGGCAGGGCTAAAGTCAGGCAGAGATTGGATTTGCATATGTCAAAGCCACTGTGTAGGCCAGTAGCTAGACCCGACAGCTGTGTCATTTATGTAACGTTAGTGACAGGCAGGCTACATTAAAGTATACGGTTGCACCAGGTTCAATGAGTAGCCTAGTCCCACTGCACTGGGGAGCTATATACAAGTAGCAGCTAGTACGAGCAGTGTTCTCAAACAGTAGCCTATTTATTTTCTCCCCTTCTCATTGCTGTTGAAACCATAGGGCACCAGGTTACTGTTCGCACGTCATTGGGCTCATGTACAGTTTAGACATTTCTCGTGCCCAAAATGAAGACACTGCCTCCTGTACAAGTCGGCCACACAGTGGCATAAACCCAGAGGGAAGAAGGTAGCAGGCCAGCCTATATCCTCTGCAGTGGTGGCAAAAGCCAAACTGAACCGCAAACGGAGACCAGTGATCCCCACCTACACTCCTAACAGGTAGTTTCAAAGCACAATAAAAACACAGATACATTTGGTAATAAAGGCAAAATGGTGCTCCTTCACAGTTTATCGAAAAAAAATGTTTGCACCGTCATGCAGTTTGATGTGAAAGAATAATAGCCTAGGCACAACATCAGATACATTTCTACAGTGAATAGTTAATACTATGCATAACACAGTTAACAGTAACATGTATCTTTCTGCCTTTAGTCAGGAGTCTGAGGAAATATATGAGACACTGAGAGGAATGAGAGGCACACCTATAAGCTACATCGTTAACCAGACCCCTATACAGGTATCAGTAGGTGGAAAGGACTACCCCATTGGTTGTGGCTTGAGCTATCAGGTAATGGTATTCTTGAGGATGCAAGGCTGGAAGTTAGACAGCATACTCACAACATACCAGATCTGGTTGATGTTTCTCAACCTTATGTTAGGGATCCTCTCTGACACGATTTTACATTTCTTTATCTTTGATATAGCACGTTCAACATGTATCCTGTGTGCAGCCACTTTTTTGTCAGGCAGACATCTGTAGAGGGCATCTGCATTTTTCCTCTGACGAAGGGTGGGATGTTTATTTCAAGTCCAATTTCGTGTAGGTCATTTTCAATTAAAAATCCTTTATCTACCATAAGCCCATCCCCTTCCTGCAGATAGCCATGTTTAAGCAGATTTTTCATTAGCTCAATAAAGTTGCTCTGCCTAACTATTTCTTTGTCAGACATAGATCCAGTGAAAAGAGTTGAACAAAATATTACAGAACCTTGTGGATCACATGCTATGAGGGATTTCAATGTGTTTGCAGACTTGTAGGTTGAGTAGCTTTGGCTCTGCAATACAAGTGAAGTTGGGGTTTGAATTTGTAACTCTGTACAGTCTAATATTGCCATCGTTGTAGGAAATTCCTCTGTATTTTCCTGGCATTTGTGCCATTATTATGTCTCTATGAGGCCATGCGGGTAGTTCCCCTAGAACTGTGAACATGTAGTCCACCCATGCGTTGAACAAAGTACCAACACTACGTTCATCAATCATAAATCTAAATGCCAAATCTTTTAAATCATGATTTTGTCTCAGTTTCATAAGAACAAGCAAGAGCTGCACACGCAGGGGCATTGTGTTAATTTGCCAATCAGTTCTGCTATATGTCAATAGGACTGAAGTTTGCTGTGCTGTTTCACTGCTAGGTATACTAAACACAGTACATAGATTGTTGAATTGATCATAAGTGAATCCAGTGGCATATTTGAAATAGGCTGGTACACGGCTGTGCTGCAAGACCTCTGGTGTTAATTAGGGATGCACGATATTGTTTTTTTTAAACCGATACCGATAACTTCCTGCTTCTCAAGACCGATACCGATAACCGATAATAATATATATATATATTAAATGTACCTGTAGTTTTTGCACACCTGGTGGTAAAAAAAAGACTAGTAGTGAGCAAATGACATGAGCATTACTACTATGAACAAAACAAAGCCAAGAACAGTTTTGACTCTCGTCAAGCGCCATCATTTCTATGATGAAGTTAGAGATCCTTTTAGCCCTGGGGTCGTCTCTGGCAAACTTCTTGCCTTTTTCAAAAGCCTCGTCGATTATTAAAAAAAAGCATCATTCATGGCATGCTCATTGGTGCATTAAAAACAATTATTTTCATCAACAAAGTGCATAGAGACATTACTCATCGTTCACCAGAGGTTCAACACATTATACCGTCGCACCAACATTACAGTGGCAGGTTGCT